GAACGGTTTGGCAATGCTCGCCGCGTTCAGCCACCTCGTATTATTAATTCGGATCGCCTCGTCGCGCCGCTGCGTTGCCGCGCCACCGTGTCGCATCGGCACGTTCGTAGGATCGGGGAAGGTCGATCCAGCGACCTTGAGGTTCTCCACAGAAGAGTAAGATGGCGATTATTCGCGCGGATGTTTTTCACGAGTCTGGCGGCGATTTCAAGGAATTTTTTGGGTAATCGTGAATCGTGACCGGTCGCTCGTCCGACGCGTTGCCAGATACACTCGCCGATTAAAAACAAAGTTAACGTCATTTTCGCGATGTTAACGCGTGGCCAGTGGTCGCCGATTGTGCGCGAACGCGAACGACGCATGTATGGTCGGTATGGTGTAAAGTGTAGAATATAGAATGTAGAGTGTAACCGCGCCGCACACCACCGTCGCGACGCGCCGCGCCGCGCCGCGCCGCACCGTTCGCTGATCACGAGTCCGTCGAATGATTCCCTTGTTGTCTATCGCGAGCATTGGTAGCCTTTGAATTCGTCAAATCGGCGGACGCGTGCTGCTTCACGAGAATCAATACCGGTTAATTAAAGACCACGAGGAATTATTAAAAACGTCGCAGAGAGCCGGCGGGCATTATAACGTCCCCGATCGACGCGAATCGTCCTACGAACGTTTACGTCTCCCGCGAAACCAAAATGTTTATTAGAATCGCCTCGATGCCGTCTCGGATATCAAAAACTTTGAGNAAAGGAGGAGTGTGCAAGAATAATTTATAATCGGTACGTGGTCGTATTCGTGCGTCGATGCTTTTTACTTTCATACGATCGTGTAGTACATCGATGAAAGAAATACGTAGGTAACCGAATCGGTAACCCGCGAACGCGAACGCGAACGCGAACGCGAACGCACCGTGTCCCTGTCAGCGAGCATTCTCAGTTACGTTGGCCGAGGCGAAGACTCACCTATGCAGTTCCATGCGACGAGTTCGACGCGTAGGTGAATCCTCGGCGCTGCCCGATAAAGCTCCGTTCGGATAAATATCGGTTCGTCGAAAACACCGTCTAGGCGGCATCGCCGCGCCGTAGAGCGGAGCGGCGCGGCGCGGTGTTACGCTGAACGCATTAATCATTAAATAATAGACGCGTCTATTTTCAAGTTGATGAAACCGTGGCTGGCAATCGCATCACGTGCACGTGAGATTAACGGAATCTGCGAACCCGTCGCAAAAATATAACGAATTAAAACGGGAACGATATCAGCGGCCATTTGAACGCAAAAGCAAACAGAGCGGACGGTTTTCAATCTCAGTGTTGATTAAACGCTTCGCGATCGTTCCGCCATTAATTGCATTAACATGCGACGGTCGTGTCCTCCGACCGTGCCTCCTCGGCGCGTTTTCCGTTTCTGTTCCTGCAGAACGGTTTGGCAATGCTCGCCGCGTTCAGCCACCTCGTATTATTAATTCGGATCGCCTCGTCGCGCCGCTGCGTTGCCGCGCCACCGTGTCGCATCGGCACGTTCGTAGGATCGGGGAAGGTCGATCCAGCGACCTTGAGGTTCTCCACAGAAGAGTAAGATGGCGATTATTCGCGCGGATGTTTTTCACGAGTCTGGCGGCGATTTCAAGGAATTTTTTGGGTAATCGTGAATCGTGACCGGTCGCTCGTCCGACGCGTTGCCAGATACACTCGCCGATTAAAAACAAAGTTAACGTCATTTTCGCGATGTTAACGCGTGGCCAGTGGTCGCCGATTGTGCGCGAACGCGAACGACGCATGTATGGTCGGTATGGTGTAAAGTGTAGAATATAGAATGTAGAGTGTAACCGCGCCGCACACCACCGTCGCGACGCGCCGCGCCGCGCCGCGCCGCACCGTTCGCTGATCACGAGTCCGTCGAATGATTCCCTTGTTGTCTATCGCGAGCATTGGTAGCCTTTGAATTCGTCAAATCGGCGGACGCGTGCTGCTTCACGAGAATCAATACCGGTTAATTAAAGACCACGAGGAATTATTAAAAACGTCGCAGAGAGCCGGCGGGCATTATAACGTCCCCGATCGACGCGAATCGTCCTACGAACGTTTACGTCTCCCGCGAAACCAAAATGTTTATTAGAATCGCCTCGATGCCGTCTCGGATATCAAAAACTTTGAGTCGAGTCGAGTCGAGTCGAGTCGAGTCGAGTCGAGTCGAGTCGAGTCTTGCAGTTCGTCGATTCGAACGGGTTACGTACGCGTGGCGGCAGGGAGCGATAGTGCAACGGGAACGGAAGATATTTTGCGATAAGATCGGAGCAGCTAGAAACGCGAAAGCATCGGAGGAAAAGAATTTACATAGTAATATTCCATGAGATTGCTCGACGCGCGATAAGGCGCGCGCGTTCGAAAAAAGGCCGACGATGGAAGCGCTCGTGGATGTCCTCGAGTGTTCGCCGATCGTCCGCGTACGATAAATGTATGTCCACCTGCGAGGTTCGGCACCGCGTGGCCCTACGCGACGCGCGCGAAACGGTATCGGACTCGTCGACGGTGTTTACGTTCCTACTCCTGCCACGTAGCGCGTCGCGACTCGCGGCTCGCGATCGCGACGCGGAAACCGGTCGATTCCTCGTGAATCGTCGCGGAACCGTTGCAGTCGCGCCGATAACACTGCGCGATTATAAATTGCCCTGCACCGAACACGATTAGGTAACCGCGTGCAGTGGTAACGGAGCAGCGGGATGCTCCATTTTCAAAGCCGATTACGACGCGAAACTCTTTCTTTCTTTCTTTCTTTTCTCTCGCAACTCCGACCGAGGAAATCCTTGGATCCTAGCCGGAGCATCGTTAAGACGCGCCTCGACGCTTCGACGCGTTCGTCTTTTTTCTCTTCGCTGACAAACAAACTCGATAAGGCGATTCCATATCGAATTTATCGAGCGTTCGAACTTGGGGTTTGCCGTCGCGAGCATGGGCACGACACGATCGCAATTGCTAAAAATTGATCGTTACATTTCGAAGCTGCGACACGCGTTCGGTAACTGGGTCACGCCGTACAAACCGTGTTAATCGTGAAAATCGATGAAGATTTCGTCGAATTTGCGTCCCTAATCTCGTTAAAGCATATAGTTCCGACGATTGTTACAGCTACTACGGCGCGACGAGAAGCATCGTGGAAAGCGTCCGTGCTCGAGGCGGTCGGAATAGAAAATAGCAAACAGCGATTCTCGGGATGGGTGCGTCTTCAAGGTGAGGACTAGATTCGAGACAATATACAACAGGTGTGATCGGATGAACGAGAAGCTATAAACATCGGTTACCGAGGCCGTCCACCGTATGCCTACCACATATTCGTTTATCGTCTCCGTGGCTCCATCTTATTTTAGCATGCTGGCACGCGATCTGGAGCGTACGAGGGGATTCCCCGATCCGTATCACGAATTCTATTCTAAGTTCGGTACCGCGGAATCTCCATTAATCGAACCAATATTTCTGTTTCGGTAATGCCGCCCGACGCGGTCGTCGTCGATCGTACGCGCAGCATATAATCGGCGGTTGGGCGTACATCGAGACGGCAAGAAAATTACAGTATGCTTGCAGCGCCGGTTAATCTTTGAACCCTCCGTCATCTTTTCGGACGATCGTGCTTTAAATAAATGGAGCTCAGAGGTCCGATGCAGACATTCGATCGGCCATCCGATCAATTTGTTTCGAATGGCGATCGCACTACTGAAAAATCCACGAGGCGAGCGAACGACGGTGGAGGTGGCAGAGGAGTAGGAGGAGGAGAAAGAGGAGAAAGAGGAGAAGGAGGAGGAGGAGGAGGAGGAGGAGGGGCGAAGACGAGTCAAAGACCAGCACCGTCCGTGCTGGATTCGAATTAACCAGTCGCAAAGTGGGCGGCCGGTATATTTAACGGCAGACTGCGCCAGAAATGCTAGAATGCTTCCTCATTGAAATCCGACCTCCCGGCGACCTCGGGTCCCCAGATTTTTCAGTTGTCCGCGCGCGATACCCTCCGCCGCGCTGCTCCAAGCGCTGCTCCACGCGCGTCTGCGACGTGTTCGACGTTCGACATTCGCCGTTCGACGAGAGAACCCTCGACGGGGACTGGGATGCGATAAACTGACAAATATCCGATCGACTTAACGTTTAACGCGTAAAACCATCGACGACGAGGAAACATGGTCAAACGACGAGTGCTCAATTTTTAACTATTACCAGTAAAAACAGTCGAGTCGATGGAAGGTTGAAAGAGTTCGACACCTGAACACGCGAGACCCCAAAGACGATCCACAAATCTGGGATACTATCTGGACCCAAAGCGATTCTTTCTCCTCTGATCGAGTAGCATCGATTACCTAGATCCTAGGTTTTCAAAGAATTTTAGAAGATTTTGGAAGAGAGCTTTCCACGCGGACGCGTACCTTTGTCCGGAAAGAACCTGGAATAGCGCCCTGGACCTATCCCAGATTCCAGGATTCAAAACTTCGAGTCTCGTCGAAGAATAGACCATCTTGCTCTTCGCAAACACTGTAGCACCGCGTATTACCATACAAAGTGACCCGAGCGAGCAGGCTTGGTTTCATCGTTCCCGATTTCGAAAGAGTCAGGCCACAATGCCCCATAGGACAATCTCCACCCTGGAGACATCGGCAGTTCAAAAGCGACGGAATTTCTGGAAACGTGGAATATCAGCGGTCGAGTGAAATCGCGATAGCAGCGAGCGTTCGTACGAGGAAATTACGAAACACGTGTTCCGTGCATGAAATGAAACAAAGAGGGGAAAGAAAGGTGATCACGGCGAAAGAACGATTCGGAGGCTCGTCGTATCCTCTGGCGTATCGCGATCCTGTTCCGTTTTTCTACGGAAGTCGGGCCGAGGGAACGAACGAACGAACAAACTCTTCTGCTCGGTAGAGCGAAGATGAAGGCGAGAGCGAAAGCGAGGGCGAGGGCGAGGGCGAGGGCGAGGACGAGGACGAGGACGAGGACGAGGACGAGGACGAGGACGAAGGCGGAGGAACAGAAAAAGCGAATCGGATAGGTTCCGAATTCCGAGTTCCGAGTTCCGAGTTCCGAGTTCCGAGTGCACGAGCGTGTAGGAGGGTTGGTTGGACTGGTTGCATGACGCTCGGGTAGCTCGGCGATACCATGACGTATCGACCGAGCGCGCCACGCAGACTGACGTCACGATCACGGCCTCAGTCAGACCGCGAGCACGTGAACAGCACGCCGGTGATCACGCGGTCGTCGGCTGATTGCCGAGCTCCGATTGGTCGGCCACGGCGAGCCCCTTGACGGGATTGGCCGCAATGGTGCGCGCCGCATGATCACGCACACAACGGGCACAGCGTGTCGGGCCACAACCGACCTGAGAAAGCTTCATTGCGTTACCAGACGTTCAACGGTTACCTCCCTTGCGAGTTTTTTCGCGAGACCAGTAATACCGTATACAGCACGATCGACTGCGTTTACCCGTCGTTCGGGCCGTGCCTCTTTCAACGCGCGCCTCCCTTGCAACACGCCGCGCTTCTTTCTCTTTGAAAACAAAAATGGATACGAATCAAACGCCGCTGTCGCCACCGGCCTCACCCCAATTCAAACATGTAAGTGAATTAAAAGTACCGCCGGCGTAGAACGGCAGGCTGCCCGCGAAATACGAACGCGGTTGGCCCCGGCAGCCTGGCCGCACCTCGTTCCGGGACGATTCGTGATCCTGTTCGTTCGAAATTGTTCACCCGTGTCGGTGCTCTGTTTTTATCGTCTTCCAGTTTCTCGACGTCTTACGAGTTCGCGGCCTGTTCGATTTTGTTTCGGTGAAATTATGGTCGGTACGATCGGTACCTAGTTTTCCAGTGATCGTTGATTCTGCGATCCCGTCGAAAATTGTTGAACAAAATATCAAGGCTTTCCAATGTTTTCATGGTGCGACTTGTTTCGTGTTACAGGTGGAGCCTTTGCAATCGTCGTTCAGCGTCGCGGCGCTTCTGGGGGACAAACTTTTGCGGAAAGCCGAGACTGCCGGGTTAAATTCGAAAAAAGACGACGACGCGGGTTCGCGGCCGGGCTTACCGCCCACGCCGCAACCGTCGGATTCGGAAGAGGACGAGCCTCTGCGAAAACGACGGTGTACGGAGCAATGCGAATTGGTAAAGGTAAATACCGTCTTATCTGGTAACCGTTTTCTCCGCATCCGAAATACAGAGAAGTCTGTATCTTTTGCATTCTTTTTTTCCGCGCGCAATCGGTGCGCTGCGTCGCGACGCTCCAATATACGTTCACGCGTGCGCGCACGGCTCTGCACGGTTGTTTTGCAAGATGACCCCGTTCACAACGTGCGTTCACTCTTACACACCATTTCGGTCGGTTATCCTTCGAGCGAACACTTTGTACCTTCCGATGGTATCGATCGGGGTACCTTTTGCTCGAAATAGATGGCATTCGAAATTATCTTTTTCTTATCGATAATCAAGAAAAACAGAAAATAGAAAACAAGGGAAAAAAGAATGAAACGATACAGACAATTTACTTGTCCGATGCACGAATCGAGCTTGCACAGTTTTCCGTAAATAATCGTTTGGAAAAATGATACTGAAAGGCATCGTTCGCCTCGTTTGTTAGCTACTGCTAGACGGTACACCGCCGCCGAGTCCGGAGCCTGCTCGAGTATCGGTGATAATGCGAGCGAACCGAGATGGTACCTACAGTCCAGCCAACTTAACGCCGAAAACAACCGTGCCGATTCCGCAATTGGTCCCGCGCGAGGCACAGCTCGATCCACAGTCCAGCAGCCCCCAGTCGGAAACAATCGCTCGTCGAAGCACCGTGGAACCGGAGAATGTTTTGAAGAGCCTCAAGTTCAAAATGAGCTTGCGGAAGGAGGAGATCATCGTTAACAATAAAAACACGGACCGAGAGACTTCTCAGCCCAAGTTACACCTCCTGGCACCGAAACCAGCACCGATCATGGTAACCGGACTCCTGGGATCCCCCTTGGTACTGCCGCGAGCACCGTTGCTGCTGGTAACCGCTTCCACGGCCACCGCTGCAAACGTCTCGACGCCAGAGTCGACCACGCGACGTCGCGTCTACGAATGCGAGCATCCAGGTTGTCGCAAGAATTATTTCAAGTCGTCTCATTTGAAGGCTCACACGAGGACCCACACGGGAGAACGACCATTCTCCTGCCCCTACGAAGACTGCAACCGTCGGTTCTCGAGGAGCGACGAACTGTCGAGACACAAGCGTACCCACACCGGCGAGAAGAAGTTCGCTTGCACGGTATGCCAGAGAAGATTCATGAGAAGCGATCATTTGGCGAAACACGTGAAACGGCATGCCAGAGACAGGTCGTCGTCGTCGTCGTCGTCGTCGTCGTCGGCGGCGGCGGCGGCGGCGGCGGCGGCGGTGGGAGCCAACGGTGTTCAAACCTCTGTCGCGCAGGTGACATCCGCGCCATTGCGGGTGAGCCTGTTGCCCGTTTTGGCGCCGCGTCTCGCACAACCCGCCCAACAAATCGTACCGCCGCAATTGGCAGCTTAAGAAACATCTGGTACAGTGATGTGATGTCACTAGGGCTACTAGCTTGAACTGTATCAAAAGCTATGGACGGAGCTTTAATTACCGCATTATCGAGAACCATTCCAAGATCGCCGGAACGTCAACGGAGGGAGGAGGGGGGAGGGGGGCGTCGTCGCGTCCCTCGAGAAGCAATTGGAGGGTGAATTTGAACGAACGACGATAAATGTCCCCCGGGGACATGAACAGGTTTCGGGAAGTTCCCACGAGATACATCGAACCTGCCAGGATCGAGAGTAATCGTTGGGGGATCGGTATTTTGATTCGCTTCGAGATTTACCAAGGATCTACCGACTCGCCTCTGTAACACGTGTGTAATCGTGATTGCTCGGGGAACAAGTTGATACGAGGCGTACTTATGAGAATGAGACCTAAAGGCACGAGAGGAGCGGCGATAAGTCATGAAACCGAGGCTTTTCTGCCGTCCGTGAACGGGTGAACCAAGTACCTAAGTGTGTCTGTGATCTGTGATGCATAAGCGCGTTGACCGAGATAAATAGTATTTATTTAATAATTCAAAGACAGCCTTTATCGATTACGAAACGATCGCGAACCGTGCTGTTTTCATTATTGCCGACTAGTAGTTACACACGTTAATTACGAATCATATTATGTATATTGTATATAACACGTTCGGTCAAGGAAATCCTTCCGGACAACGTAAGACTTCGTACTGTAAAGATAAGATTTAATGATTTTTCTACAAGAACAAAGATCGATTACATGACTTCTATACTTTCGTAAAATTATTGTGGATGTTTGTCGTTCCCTGACCAGTCTCGCGATGCCCTTCCTACGTCCCTAAACGATCGCGACCTTCGACCTTCGACTCGCGCAACAACGCGCGCATCGGTATCGTAACTTTTTCAAATTTTCTATTTAAAATTTTTTCACAAATTTTATCTCAATGTTACCGATTGGCGAACGAAGAATCGTCGTTTTTTTATATTATTTAATTCGTTGGCAGTTGCGTAACGCGTCGAGAAGCAACGCTGCAGCAAACATCGCGAGATCGCAGGTTTTTCTTGCGTGCGGCAGAGTTTCAGACCAATACGGAAGGTCGTGCGTCGAGATCGGTCGAGATGACCGAGGAGGCGAGAGAAAAAAGGCAAGTTCTATTTACGAAGAACTGGATGCACGCGACAATTGAACGATATTCAACCGTTTCTACATATATACGTGACGTAGCGTCTGCGGCGGTTTAGATAAACACGGTAAAAGATAATTTAAACGGTAAATACGCGCGAACATTGTGCAGTACATTTAGTATTATATTATTGATGTTTGAAATTTTGAAATTCGTCCTATATGAATATTTTTATCCGAAACAACGATGCAACGAATATACCAAACAGTTCGTACATATATCTCTGTTCGCGAATGGCTCGACCTGTGTGCGCGCGCGCGCGCGCGCGCGATCAGAAACTTCGTAAATCCAAAAGGTTTGCTACTTGTTGTTACTCGCTCTCGTTCGAGGAATGCGTAAACAATTTTCATCAGATTTTAATCGCAGAATCGTCAGCGTCGAATCGAATTCTCCGAACAAAAGCACCGAAATAAGTAAGGTAGGCAAATATACCTCTATCGAGGCAAAAAGTTTCCATTACGCATCTTACGCGAAGAGCTGCGTTGCGTCGAGTGTGTGGATATACACATGTAATCTCGTCCTCTTGATTAAGATCCGCAAAGATACTTTCTGCCGAGGATGGCGAATTCCTTTTCTTCGAAACGGTTTTCCTTATCTTCGCGAATATCTGTGATAAATATTGTAAATCGTGTTACATATTTTTCCACGCACGAACGGTGCCTTACGTAACCGTGCATGTTTCGATAATATTTCGTTAGAAAACTTCCTGATAATTCCGTTTGAAAACACTTCGTATCGATGCAGCGTTTTCCGCTTCGTCTCCGTTGTTGCTGAACATTCTTCGAATACGTACGTAATTCGGCAAACACGAAGCAAAACGCAATTATTGTCGTAGACTATTTCGATCTACACGATAGGTAAGGGAGCACTCGCGCCGGATCAATAGGGGTGCAAATAAAATATTCCATTGCATATTATCGCAGTAGTCGTGGAGCGAGAAAGGGAATATGTATATGTTAACGTCGAATATAATTCACGAGGTCGTAGATCGAGATAAGATTCTTTTTTATCGATCGTTTACATTCGCCCGAGAAGATGGATGCTCAAAAATATGCGATTTTGCTTTGCGAGCGCAAATGCTTTCGCGTATATTTTCGTACTCTACAATCTCTTCAAACAAGAGTTCCTGATAACTACATACCGAGTTTGATTTCTCCAGCATCCAATGGAGAGACAATAATCGATGAAAGCTCTTTTGTCTTTTCACTCGTGACAGTAATAAAAATTAAACTTCGTTCGTTGAAACGAACGTCTTCTATACTTTTTTAACTATATCTGTGCACTTATTTTTAATGTATTTGCAAACGTACCGGTCAAACTTAAAATGGTCTCTCTCTAACGAAATGCCATAGTTTCTTGCATCAGCCAAGGACTCGGCTCTTTTAATATTGTAAATGTCACAAACAGGTGTGGGACCGGTAGATGACGCAAAATGTCCTCTTGATTACCCGCATTTGCTTTTATTAAAATTTATCGCGGTAAGCGTATACAAATAATAAAATATCGTCTTTCTATTTCACGAGTAAAATAAAAATAACGCACCGATGAAAAAAATGATCCGCGATAAACGTATAATAAATAAATAGTCTTTGTTTATTTTGTTTAGCGAAAGTCTCTTGGTAATCTGGTAACCGCGGGGAAGTTATTTTTAAAATGCTAATAAATAAGCGATTATTACGGTTCAATTAAATATTACAATCTCTCCTTCCGAAATCGTCTATTTAATCTGGAAAATTTCCCTCGCGGGTGAATGTTGCCGGACAGGGAATGATTTCCTTGCTCATACATACGCATATAAGCATGCACTTGAAAGTGCAATATCTCCTGGACATTGCATCAAGTACAAGAATTCCACACCTATGTCTTTCATAATTCGACGCGGGAAAAAATGTTAATCGAGTGATAAATTTATTCGTCTATACTTATCAGTCATGATTCATTGTTAATTAATCCCGAACACCTTGATGATGTGTTCTAAACATACGCTTACAAACATTTTCTGCCGTTATTTTCGCAGGGAAGGATGCTTGCGTTTTTTGCTTGCATAAAAGAAAATAGTACGCCATTTTTACAAAAATGTCATTTATTTCTTTTAGCAACAACAAAATGTAAAAATATTATACATAGATATCTCGTGACATACATCGTGTAAAAATGCTCTAATAAATACATAGTTCGTTCGCATCGATAATCGTTATAGAAAGTAGAAACCATTGTTTGAACAATCTTATACATTTATCAAAAAATATAGTATTTTAACCGGTAGATCAACATTCTTATTCCCATTTGTAGACGTAGAAAAATTTTAAAAAAAGAAACAGAACAATTACAGCTTTTTACTCTCTCCTGAAGCTCTTTAGGCACTGTACTTTTTTCTTTAATTATTTGTGGAATTTTTTACTGGAATCGGACGCCATATCGTATAGCATCTGGCATGGTTTGAAAGAATCGCCGTAATGACTCTGGAATTCTTCCATCTTTCTTACCAAGTTACCAGCTCCGTAGTATTCTACCCAGCGGAAAGGTCCACCGGTGAATGGAGGGAAGCCTAGTCCAAAAACGGCTCCTACATCGCCTTCCAGCTATGAAAATATTTATATTTAACTTTCGATAAAGAAGAATAATAAGCAAAACGAATTAATATGTATAACAGATTCACGATTTTATTTACCGGATTAGACAATATGTTCTCTTCTAGACAAATCACTGCTTCGTTAACGAATCGTGACACCATTCGCAACTGACGATCTTCGTCCGATGTGCTTCCTTTTGGTTCAAGCTTGTATTTCTTCAAAATATCTAGCGCTCCCGGATTAAGAGCTCTGTCCTTAGTATTGGCTTCGTAAACATATATACCTTTGCCAGATTTTCGGCCTAAAAATCATTTATGCCGTTAAATGTGTTTACATTACAAAAAATAACCTCGACTACGATTCTCAATAGCAACAACTATCGTAGTATAAATTGAATAAGTACCAAGGAAACCGGCTTTGACCATATCGCCGAGTATGTTTGTATCCCCGCCACTGAAGCGTGCACCCAAAACCTTCGATAAATAAGGACTTATATGAGCTGCAACGTCAATACCAACTTCGTCCGATAACGTCGCTGGTCCGACAGGAAATCCAAACTTCTTAGTCAACTTATCCAAGTCTATCGGATCCACACCTTCCTATTTTTTAGACACATTATATCATACATTGTTACATTCCCGTGTAATTCTATTATAATCACTGAGAATATTACCTGCAATAATCTAATCGCTTCCGATAACATAGCTGATAAAATTCTCGAGGTATAAAATCCGGGTCCGTCTCCCACGGTAATGACTATTTTACCTTGTTTCAGACCTACATCGACCGCAGTCTTAATAGTTTCAGTCGACGTTCCCTTGTGCGTTATTATCTCTAACAGTTGCATTTTGTCTACCGGAGAAAAATAGTGCATTCCGATCACCTGTTAATCAATATCATGTCAAATTAAAATCAATTATATTTTTTTTTGCACATATAACAATCCACAATACTTACCTTGTCTGGGCGTTTACTTCCTGCTGCAATGTCGGTAATAGGAATGGCTGATGTATTCGATGCGACTATACAATGTTCCGGTGTAGACGATTCAATTTCTTTTATGACCCTGTGCTTGATTGCAATGTCTTCGAATACAGCTTCGATTACTATGTCCGTGTTTTTAAAGGAGTTATAGTCCAAAGTAGCATCCAACTTGGCAAGATACTTGTCCTTTTGAATACTAGAAATACCACAATAAATATTTAATTATAACACGAACTGATTTGAACAAGTTACGCGAAGATTTCTTAAAGGAGAGCATATTTCTGACTAACGTGGAGTATCTTTTTCTTTTTACAGCATTATCCAGGCCTTTTTGTATTTGACCAACACCTCTATATAGACCTGTTTCATTCGTGTCTTTCAGAATTACATCGTAGCCTTTGTCTATGCTCACTTGGGCAATACCTGCTCCCATTAAACCAGCTCCGACAACTGCAATTTTCCTAAAATTCAATATAGAATCGATCCTTCTGTATAGGTACATCGAATCACAATTATCACGGTATGTAATGGCTATCTACTTACTTCACAGCATTCTGTGGTGCACCAAAACGATTCTTTTTACATGCGGTCTGTCCAAAGAATAGACTTACAAGTCCCCTAGACTGAGGTGTCACCGCTAACTCGCCAAAAGCTTTGGCTTCTGCTTCGTAACCAGCGGCCGTTCCCTTATCCAAACCGGTACGTACTACTTCCAGAATCTTAAGCGGAGCAGGGTACAGACCGCCGGTCATTTTCATCACTTGACCTTTTGCTCTCTTAAATATTTGATCTTTAACAAAATCAAATGAAAAAGCATAATTCATGAGCTTATCGGTCAGAGACCTAGGATTACGATCGATCTTCAATGTATTATTTGCAATATCTTTTGCAGTTTGGACAGCAGTTTCTTCCAAGTATCTCATAGTACTGCGAATATTATAAACATATATTTACAATTTACATATTATACCTCAGTATAATATTAATTATTATATCTCATACTTTTCTTCCGCAGTTGCAACTCCAGGACCAAGACGATTCACTAACATGTCTATAATTCCAAACTTTTTAGCTTTATCCGGCTTAATACTTTTCCCAGTAAGCGCCATGTCCAATGCATTGGGAAGGGCAGTTAATTTAGTTAATCTTTGTGTACCTCCTGCACCGGGTAATAATCCTATCATTACTTCTGGCAAGCCTAAAGTAGTTTTCGGATCGTTCACAGCCAACCGATATTGACAAGCCATTGCAACCTGTAAGAATTCAATCAATCTTTGAATACTTTGGAAGGAAAAATAAATGTAAATTTATCAGGTATCCTTGAATGTACGAACCTCGAGACCACCTCCCAAACAGCTTCCCTGAATCGCTGCTACAACTGGTTTTGTACTCTTCTCTATTTTACGTAAAATTTGTTGTCCTTCTAAAGATACTTTGTAACCATCTTCGGCAGTCTTAAACCCCTGCATCATAGAAATATCTGCACCAGCAATAAAACAGCCAGGTTTCCCACTTATTAGAACTATAGAATTCACAGAAGAATTATTTTCTATATCATTTAAGACTGTTACAATTTCTCTCATTACTTCATGATTCAAGGTATTCACCTACAATCAAGTGTACTTATTAGTTTAATTATATAATATATGCTAATCCAATGTAATCGTTCGAGTAAATAATATCTACCTTAGTTCCCGGCGAATCTAAAGTAATTACAGCTACATTATCTACAACTTTGAATTTCAAATGTTTTGTATTTGTAACACTTGCAAACGTCCTCATTGTTCGACATAATGCTGAAAGCAAAGTTCATGGCATAACAAGGGATACAAATGTGGGAGGTCTTTATAGAGATTAAGTTGTAAAATTAAATATTACAAATAGTATCGAAAATTGTTCAATTTTCTAAAACTTATACTAACGGAAATATAAAATACTCGTTTAACGTGCACTTTTATTGTTATCTCATACAATTTGCGAGAAATTCGTCTGTTAGATATGCGGGAACAGACAGGAGCAAAGGTTCATGATGCATTTGTATAATATTTATATATAAATATATTTTTTTTTTTTCTATTCGTAATTACCTGTTCGTGTCGCATAATTTTTATTTATGGCAGATAAACGTTTTACGGTACTCAACAACCTGTATTGTGACATTTTAATTACATTACCCGTAAACGTCCGTCAGAACAATATTAAATAGTGCACATAGAATAATCACCAGCACCAGCTCCCAACTGGAATCGCTCGCACTCCACTCACGTCACGATCGACGATGGCATCGATCGAATACGCATGCGTTCACTGCGTGGATGCGGATGTGGATATGTAGCGAGTTAGTAATTTGACCGACAGAATTCGCTATAGTACATATTCCTTAAGGACTTTGACCCGAAATTGATGCATTGGCCACGTTCAAAAATAATTTTAGTATTCTACACAATCAGTACCCGATAATAAGAGATATCAGTTTGTGGAAAATTTGTGTACGTATGAAAAAACCTTATACGATCGACTGTAATAATTCGAACAAAAATACAAAATGAAGTATGATTATAATAGTCTTATAATCACGAATGATTATAATAGTCTTAGATTATTGTCTAAAACGCAATATAAATAGCAGTGATGAATAATATCTATACTATATATATATATACATATATATGTGTATATACTACAGAATACGATGGTGGCGATTGCGTTCTGCAGCAAGTAAGTCCAGTTCTTGATTAATACAATTCTTCTGACAGCTTGTTTCTGTTATTTCTTATTTCCATTGCAATATCCGAAACAATTAGGTTCAGTGCTAATCTTTGCTGTATCTTGTAAAAGCGTCTTACTATTTCTCGATCATTTCCTTTCTCCAATATCGGTGCAGCAGATTTTCCAGGATTTTCCTCAACAATCTTGTGCCCTTGATTTATTTTGTTATCGTTTCATTTCATCATAATTAACATTCTTAGGCTACCCTGCATTTGTGCATACATCGACAATTGTGGTGCTTCTTTTGGAGACGAACTGAAGCTCTCTTCGGGGTCCATACAGCGCCAATTAGTAGGTGGCAAAACGCTCAAACTGTTAGCCAAAATCGTCTGTTGGTAATTTGGCTAGCAGTTCGAGCGTTTTGCAGTTGTCCTAATTGGCGCTGTACGGACTCGGATTAAGCTTTGCTTTTTTCCACAAGAGACAATAAAAAATCGCTTAGCGATATGCGCTGCTATATTCGCACAAATAAGTTGATCGTACGTACATTGAGAACGTACGTACAATTTCTTTTGATACATTAACAATAGTGCCTCACGAATGATGTCGAAATCTATTGCTAGGAGCGTCGCCCTAATGAGCCACGAATAGTAGTTACTACAGTACGCGTCTTAGGTCCATCGAGCCAAAGGGGAGCGAGACGGCTCCGACAGGAGTCAGAAATTATGTGCAGTCTTGTTTCGAGTCTTGTTGGCCCTGCTCTAGGTAACTGTCCTATTTAGGTAGAAGTTTTTTTAGCGATGTTAGTATTTCAGAACATGTGACACAAAACACGGAATCCCATATGCTCTTCAGATCCCTTAGCAAGGGTTGATGTAGAAATTTTCTTTGCACTGATTGGCTGACGATTTACTGTTGAGACAAGATGTGTGCTCAGTTTGTATATGTATATGCGCGCGATGCGATTCAAGTTTGCGCATATTTACAGATGTTTACAGATGTCGCTAATGCTAAGAAATTGTAAATGTTTTCATGAAATACGTACTATTGAAACGTATGATACATTTNAAACCCCCCCCCCCCTAAAATCGATTCGAAATGTAATCCTTTGAGATCGAGTGAATTTTATTCTCCGAGTCACTGCTCCCGACTTATCGATTTTTCAACGTGATTTCGAATTTCTTTTCACTTTTACGATTAGAAAACTCTGCGGGAATCCCTAGAAACATGCCTACAATAATTTTTCACACGTTCGAGTTGTAAACAATTAGTTACAAACGATTTTCAACTTTATGTTCCAATATTGAATTTTTCAGCAAATGATTCGTGCCGTTTTTTCTATAGACGGCAATGGAAAAACCGGCACGAATTATCTGCTCTCTTCAAACGTCTGAATAGCGCCAATTCATGCAGCGGTAAAATGCTCAAACTGTTAGCCAAAATCGTCTGTTGGTAATTTGGCTAGCAGTTCGAGCGTTTTGCAGTTGTCCTAATTGGCGCTGTACGGACTCGGATTAAGCTTTGCTTTTTTCCACAAGAGACAATAAAAAATCGCTTAGCGATATGCGCTGCTATATTCGCACAAATAAGTTGATCGTACGTACATTGAGAACGTACGTACAATTTCTTTTGATACATTAACAATAGTGCCTCACGAATGATGTCGAAATCTATTGCTAGGAGCGTCGCCCTAATGAGCCACGAATAGTAGTTACTACAGTACGCGTCTTAGGTCCATCGAGCCAAAGGGGAGCGAGACGGCTCCGACAGGAGTCAGAAATTATGTGCAGTCTTGTTTCGAGTCTTGTTGGCCCTGCTCTAGGTAACTGTCCTATTTAGGTAGAAGTTTTTTTAGCGATGTTAGTATTTCAGAACATGTGACACAAAACACGGAATCCCATATGCTCTTCAGATCCCTTAGCAAGGGTTGATGTAGAAATTTTCTTTGCACTGATTGGCTGACGATTTACTGTTGAGACAAGATGTGTGCTCAGTTTGTATATGTATATGCGCGCGATGCGATTCAAGTTTGCGCATATTTACAGATGTTTACAGATGTCGCTAATGCTAAGAAATTGTAAATGTTTTCATGAAATACGTACTATTGAAACGTATGATACATTTAAAATATTTATCTCTCTACGAATCATATATCTAATTTATAAATTATATGTTACCTGTAATCTACAGAACAAACACTACATAGAATGTTGAATAATAGAATGTTTTCATATAAAAAATTGTTTACCGAGATTGCTGTAGCTTTGTTATGTTTATTTATTTTCTGTGAATACATACTTTATTATCTTGTGCTCATTCAGGTAAATTGTATCAATATGTTTCGCATATATAATGTACATGTATTATAATATACATATACTTTTTATTAGTGTTCATGGCCTGTTTTGGATCCACATAAACTTGATGCAAAAATTCCCAAACCAAGCGCAGAAGAACTACCTGTGCATGCAATGTTTATAGCAGATACTCATTTATTAGGTTCCAGAAAAGGACATTGGCTTGACAAATTAAAAAGGTTCGTACTATTCACAACTTAAATCACTTTCTTAACATTAAATGTACAGAGCATCAAAAGTGAATGGTATATATTGCCTTCTAAAAATGGCAAGATTCGATTAATTCGAGCCTGTGCCACTTTTATTACAACATATGCTTGAATGTGGAATTGTATTTAATAATGTCTAATGAAAACTACTGTATCGTTTCAATGAACATAAAATAAAAGATACAAAACTGGTCACGCGACAAGCGATGGTACATATAGTGTTAAGGTCTTTGTAGAAATTTGTATTACAATTAAGGAATCTTTTATTACAATAAATCTCTTATTTAGGGAATGGCAAATGTACAGAGCATTTCAAACTATGGTTACACTGCACAAGCCAGATATAATCTTTGTGTTAGGTAAATGACTGGATACCATAGAAATTTGGGAAAATTATAACTCGTAATAATATGGTACATATGCCATAACAGGTGATTTATTCGACGAGGGACAATGGAGTAGCTCTTCAGAGTTTGAGCAATACATCGAAAGATTTCATTCGCTATTTTCTGTACCACGAAACACTCATCTGTATGTTGTTGCTGGAAATCATGACATTGGATTTCATTATGGTATTTCAAAATATTTTAAACTTTTATATGCTAGATTGTAGATCTTTTTCTTTCCATTACCAAAAAATATATAAAATAGCTGTCTGCTTACAACTACTTAGCATTGTTAATAATAAAATTCTTGTTCAGTTATTACACCATCCTTAAATCAACGATTTGTGAATGGTTTAAAGGCACCAAGCGTGAAGAGAGTTACTATAAGGGGGAACCATTTTGTTTTAATTAATAGCATGGCTCTAGAAGGAGATGGCTGCTTTTTATGCCGTCCTACAGAGATCGCACTAAATAAAATTGCAAGTATGTCACTTTGTTTTATTCTTCTAAATCTAGGTACAAGTTTTTAATTTTTCATTCAAGTTATGAAAATCTTCAAAATCTGAAAAGGGTTCTGAGAATAAAATGTGCAACTAGCAGGATTTTTTTACAGCGCATTTGAAATGTGCAAAAGGTACAGGCAATCATTGCGATAAAACAAATGTTATTTCAAGATATAGCAGACCAATCATTTTACAGGTCAGTAAATTATTTCGTCTGAAAGACTAAAAATTCTCATTTAATCTCTCAATTCGAATCACAGCATTATCCAATGTATCGTGAATCTGATGAAAATTGCAATGAACTCGATCAAGCACCGGATGATATAAAAGATATCAAATTCAGAGAAAGATGGGAATGTCTATCGAAGGAAGCATCTGAACAGGTGTATATAGAATAATTTATAAGAATTGTTACGATCGATAGTATAAATATGTATAATATTATTGATTTACAGCTCTTAGATATATTACATCCAAGACTGATTGTTAACGGCCATACTCATCACGGCTGTAGAAGAATACACAGGGAAGATATATTTGAATTTACAATATCATCGTTTAGTTGGCGTAATAAAGATAATCCTTCACTCTTATTAGTAAGTTAAATGCCTAAACATTTTTATTAATTTCGAATTTCAGTATATATTATTTTCTTAAAATAATACTTGCATTTCAGGGGGTATTTGCTCCAAATAATTATTCTGTATCAAAGTGCTACATGCCTGTGGAGTCTACAGAGATCAGAATTTATATTATTAGCGTAATTATCATATTTATATATTTCGTTATAAAGTGTAAACTAAAACTTCGTTACTCTCTATTGAAATTTCATTGAAATTTACTTCTAAAACAGTTTTCTCTCTACGTATCGATATATGAATTATTGAAAGTTCTGTATATACATACGTATACTTTTGAAAATTTAAGTTACATATTATTTACACTATTCATAGTACAAAATATTTCTATTCTCCATTATTATGATCAGCAGAATACTAATTTTCAGTGACCTGAAATTGAAAAAACACTCGAAAATTATTTTTACATGTTTCAATTTTTTGTTTCCTCTTTAAGAAATCTACATATGTTCGAAATCATGAGAATATTAAAAGTTCACAAATCGGACGACATACACTTCCATGGTAACATGTATAAAAGTCGCTTATCTATTGTACATTTTACTTAGTGTTGACGAATTAATAAGCCATAAGTGTATATGCCCCAAAAAATAATTTATGCATAACAGATGCGTAATTTGTTCGATCATGTTTCGAGGAATAAAGTTCACACACAACACGTACAAAGTAAATACATACATTTTATATTATTAAACTTACAAAGTAATGCATTTAATGCATGTACGTGTATTAACAACTTTCTGCACATGCGACATGTAAAACCTTGTCATTTTATTGTAATAAAACAGGAAATTATGATAACTAATAATTTAAGCCATAATACTGGCATTGACTATAACTAATATCACGCTTACTTAATATTTTTACACATCTCTTTATACTGTTTGAAATGGTAATATTAATATAGTCAATGCCTGTCTCTTATACACATCTAGATGTGTATAAGAGACAGTCTTTATACTGTTTGAAATGGTAATATTAATATAGTCAATGCCTGTCTCTTATACACATCTAGATGTGTATAAGAGACAGTCTTTATACTGTTTGAAATGGTAATATTAATATAGTCAATGCCTGTCTCTTATACACATCTAGATGTGTATAAGAGACAGTCTTTATACTGTTTGAAATGGTAATATTAATATAGTCAATGCCTGTCTCTTATACACATCTAGATGTGTATAAGAGACAGTCTTTATACTGTTTGAAATGGTAATATTAATATAGTCAATGCCTGTCTCTTATACACATCTAGATGTGTATAAGAGACAGTATATACATTCTTTATATATAATTTTAACTGAATTTTGTGAGTAGTAGAACTTCATTCCGTGAATTTATGAATCATAAGTACTTTTTATAACAGTGAAATATTTTTTAAAAATCTAGAATTCGATCGGAAATAGAAACAGTATTTGAATAAGACAATAATTATTGAACATTATTATACATTTTTTAAAATTATAATTAATTTATACTCACTTCTTAGTACAGGATTTTTAATATATTTGTACAGCCGAAAATAACTTTAAAATATTCGAGAATTAACGTTTGGTTGATATACTACTC